GGTGTGTCATGACCTTGACCCAAGGTTATTTGGGGAAGTTCAAGGTCACTGGAAGAAAAATTTCATAATTCGTGTCCGGTCCTTATCTTTCTTATGGATAAACTTGGTAGGTTGTCATTTCACACAAAGGTTGCCCATGACCCAAGGGTGTGTCATGACCTTGATCCAAGGTCATTTGGGGAAGTTCAAGGTCACTGGAAGAAAAATTTCATAATTTGTGTTTGATACATATCTTTCTTATGGAAAAACTTACTTCTGAAAAACCCAGCGGGGGGTATTTTGTCCCGTTTGGACAGTTCTAGTTAATTTTTTTTAATGATGAGTGCAGGTGCCTTTTCAAAAATTGGAAATATGTGGCCCCAGGGTCAGTGGTTCCTTTGGGGTGGGACTCTACTGGTTATTGGAAACTGTATCTGCATTTTTAAACCCCCGCAAACGAAGTTTGGGGGGGTATATAGGAATCACCTTGTCCGTCTGTCCGTCCGTCTGTCTGTCTGTGCAATCGTGTCCGGTCCATATCTTTCTTACCGAGGGACATTAGAATCTACTACTCCACACTAAGATTGCTCATGACCTAAGGGTGTGTCATGACCTTGACCCAAGGTCATTTGGGGAAGTTCAAGGTCACTGGAAGAAAAATTTCATAATTCGTGTCCGGTCCTTGTCTTTCTTATGGATAAACTTGTTAGGTTTTTATTTCACACAAAGATTGACCATGACCCAAGGGTGTGTCATGACCTTGACCCAAGGTCATTCGAGGAAGTTCAAGGTCACTGGAAGAAAATTTCATAAATCATGTTTGATACATATCTTTTATAGATAAACTTGGTAGGTTCTCATTTCACCCAGAGATTGCTTATGACCTAAGGGTGTGTCATGACCTTGACCCAAGGTCATTTGGAGAAGTTCAAGGTCGCTGAAAGAAAAGTTTCAATATTCGTGTCCGGTCCATATCTTTCTTATGGATAAACTTGGTAGGTTTTTATTTCACACAGAGATTGCCCATGACCCAAGGGTGTGTCATGACCTTGACCCAAGGTCATTTAGAGAAGTTCAAAGTCGCTGAAAGAAAAGTTTCATTATTCGTGTCCGGTCCATATCTTTCTTATGGATAAACTTGGTAGGTTTTTATTTCACACAGAGATTGCCCATGACCCAAGGGTGTGTCATGACCTTGAAACGAGGTTATTTGGGGAAGTTCAAGTTCACTGGAAGAAAAATATCATAATTCGTGTCCGGTCCATATCTTTCTTATGGATAAACTTGGTAGGTTCTTATTTCACACAAAGATTGCCCATGACCCAAGGGTGTGTCATGACCTTGACCCAAGGTCTTTTGGGGAAAGTTCAAGGTCACTGGAAGAAAAATTTCATAATTCAAGTTAGGTCCATATCTTTCTTATGGATAAACTTGGTAGGGTTCTCATTTCACTGAAAGATTGCCCATGACCCAAGGGTGTGTCATGACCTTGACCCAAGGTCATTTAGAGAAGTTCAATGTCACTGGAATAAAAATTTCATAATTCGTGTTTGATACATACATGTATCTTTATTATGGAAAAGCTTACTTCTGAAAAACCCAGCTTAGGGTATTTTGTCCCGTTTGGACAGTTCTAGTTTTCTTTGTTTGGCAGATCTGCATCTGGGTATTTTAAAGTTTTCAGAGTAAGCATGCTAAGTATAGAGTTATGATTATCAATTGTGCCTCTTTAAAAATTGTGAATTTCATGGCTTCTGGTTTAAAACACAACCAAATTCAATTGTTTGAAAGTTGTTGCATAATACTCTGGTGACCTATAAGACCTGTGGACCTCTTGTGTTTTTAAATTAACAAAGTTAAAAATAATTTTCCTTGTTTATGTATAGAATTGAAGATTTAATCTCCACTGATCAAGTGGATTTAGAGGAATTCGGTGATTGCTGTGGCAGATTCAATCTCCACTTATAAAGTGGATTTACAGGAAATCAGCGTACACTGTTGTGTCTTTTATAGAATTTTTCTCATAAATCAATAATTTTATAAACAAAATGAAAAAAAAATTTTAATTAAGGAAGTTAAAGATACTTAGTTTGCAGAAGAAAAAAAACATGCTTAGAAAAAAAATTGCAAAAATCAATTTAAGTACATATTATAATTTTAATACAGTGAAAACTTCTCTACCTGACACCTGAACAATTCATTTACCTGTAAACTCAAATCTTTTTTCACACCTATTTTAATATTTTCAAAGGTCTATACACTGTGCAATCTTGGATTAAGACAGGTTTTACTGTATACATTATTGTTAAAGTAAGACAATCTTTATGAAAGATTTAATAATTCAAAATCAAAATTCTGAATATATTTTTAAACAAAAATTAATTGTGGGATCAACATTCATTAATTTTATTTGATCAACCAACAACCCCAAATGAAAATATTGAACCTGACTTGTACAGAGGTAAAAACTGAAGTTGATCTGCTGAGGTACAGTATGGACACCATTATCAGAAAGGCTTTATGAACCTAAATATGGTGAAAATGGTGTCTTGGTTATCAGACATCATAACAAAAATTAGCTCAGACAGTTTAATCTTCCAAGAAACTATGATTATTATACAGGAGAGTTAATTGATTACTCCCAAATGAAAAAAAAATTACCACCCAATTAGAATAAACAGATTTACAAACAAATTAAAGATTTCTGACTTTTTTGGTTGAAAATTGAACTGTTTTTGATTATGACAGGAGATTGGTTTCATACACAAGGGAAATCATTGTCCTTTGAATGTTTCTCCAGCCTTTTAAAAAAAAACCCTGAAAATGATCCTTTTCTTCCCACGTTATTAAAAGGAGATCAATTCACATTAACCCACTCGTACATTTCCCCTCCTTTTGTTTCTTCCCACATTTGCAATAGAAAAGTTGATATAAGGAAAATATCAGCATTTATTATTATTTTTTTTTCTTTTAATTATTAGATATTGATTGAGTGATACAAAGCTGATATAAAAGACCGACTTCTTAATAATTTATGCTGTATATATCAGGCATCACGTCAGACTAAGGAATGTTACTTTTACATGTACCTCTGTATTCAGAAGGTTTATAAGATCTTGTCATTTATGATTTTATGACAATCATGCAGGGTTCGACACTAACGGTAGCCCGCTGGCCCGGGACAACTGAATATTGAGGTCGGGCTACCAAACATGCCTTTAAACTTGCCCTGCAAGGCTACTAAGAATTTTACTAAGTACTCACTCAGAGCAACAAAATTACACACATTGTATCTAATAATTATTAAATCAATTTTCAAAAATGTTTTATCATCATAATTATTATTTTTGTATGTCAAAATTTTAAAATTTAAAGGTGATTCGAAATACCCTAAATGATTATATATGTGTACTTCTTCGAATAGAAAAATGTCTAAGGTACAATCATAGAGTGACATATAATTTTTACCCAAAATACAGCCAAAATGCAGGATTTGGCATCTCTATTTTCAAAATTTTCCGGGGGAGGCCCCCCGTACCCCCACCAGCAGGAGGGGGAGACCCCCTCCCGCACCTACCCCCTTCGTCGCTTCGCGACTCGACCACCAGCCTTCGGCAGCTGGACAACTAATACATGAACAGGGCTAGTCGAAATTAGAAATGGCTAGCCCTGCTGACAACTATGGTTTAAAAGTTAGTGTCAACCCCTGTCATGTATATAAATGAAACAGTTCACTGTATTATTTCCATAAAAATAGAAGAAAATTGCATGTGATCAAATTTTCTTGTTAATAATTTTCAGTTGTCAATTATCAAATATCCAATATTAATTTAAACTTTTTCTTATAATTCATTAATTTGTAACACCCCCTTCCCAATATATGATATTTGTAATCATCTGATCAATTCCTATATAGTTATTGACCCTCTGTTGTATGTTGCATCTTTAGTGTTAGTATAACACTCAGTGTCTGGAACAAGTTGAATGATATCACACCATGTTAATTTGATAAAGTAGCACTGGAAAAATATTTTGATTGGAGGAAAAAAAAGAGCTCTTCTTCGTGCTAGTATTATATTGACTGGCTATGTCATATTCTGTGTGAAATTTCTTTCTTTCCCCTTAGCAAATCAACTCAGTAATTAAATATCAAAACGAACAATCCACCTTTCTGGATGTATTTATCAGTCATTTCCCTGTAACTGTTAATTTGAAATGTCTCCATTTTCCCAATTTGACAGAAAGCATAAAGGGGGATCTTGCATTCAGCTTTTCCTAATGAATAGTAATGACTTCATTCGCCTTAAAAAAAATTTGTCTTGTTAAGATATCGGTTAATAATTGTGGTCAATGGAGTTTGCCTATTTTCCCTGTATTCAGTCAGGGGAAGGTGGTTTTTGTAAGGCTTAGCCTGTAAGGCTCACCTGGGATCTTGGCTAATAAGGTGTCCAAATGTCTATAGCATGTCTTCTATAGTTTTTGTATTAAAAAGGGCAAAATCCTTTCTTATGTGATCATGAAGGTAATTTATGAAATGTAGAACTACTTTAAATTACATGAAGGAAGAAAGGAAGATAGGAAAAATTTGGAATAAACTTAAAAGAAACAAAATATTATGTATCAGTGGATATTTATATTATGGATATTTGGGTTAGTTTGGGGCCACATCAGAGGATGAAAGTTTTGTGTAGTGATACACAGGATTTCATTCAGTGGTTTAAGAGAAGTTGTTGATGAGATGGATACCCCAAAGCATAACAGAAGGAAGGGTGGAAGGACATACAGATGGATGGACACCCTGATCACTATATCCCTTTAAGCTGGAGGGTACAATGAATCAATTTCATTGAAAATTGATTTAAACTTTATATTTATATATGACCTTGAGGCTAACAAGGTCATTGCACATTGGGCAAGGTCACCAGGATTCCCAAGGTGGGGCTATATTTGTGTGAGATAAAATCCATTCAGCCGAGGTCATTGTCTCTTTGTGCTGTATATGCTATGTATGCTTGTTTCAGGTATGGATCCAGAAAGCTAAAGAGGGTGATAATAAGAAGAGGAAGCGAGAAGAGGAGGAGGTCCCCCCCAGAAAGGTCAACCCCAAGCTGGCAGGCTTCGCTTTCTCTAAAGATTAACAATAGAACTCGACTATCATTTTATATTCTATTTATTAATAAAATTTTTATATAAAAACATGTCCAACCATTGATGGTGAAATGTAAGTCAAGCACAAAATGGCTATTAATGACTTAGGCATGTGAGAGTGTGATGTCAGAAATGCATAGGAATTGTTGCAGTATGAATATTGCTGATATGCAAGTTATGTTTTAAAAACTAGTTGGAAAGAGTTTACAATGTTACAAGGTATCTTTTTTAAATACAATGAACTATATGTTTCAGTACATATATAGTATTGAGAAAATTGTTTCAGTGACACTGAAGTGTAAACACTGATTCTTATTAAAAACGGATAAAAAACTTCTAAGTGAATACATGTATTGTGTTGCTGTGATGACAAGCACATATTTTTACTTTAAGTAGTGTATTTAAATTGCACTGTCATGGATTCAAAGTGGTGTATATTCAAATGAATAAATTGTCACAATGTTAAGGATTCCTATCACTATTAAAGGCAACATTTTCAAACACAATATTGTTACTTTTGTATGCTTTTATAATAGCCTCTGACTTGGCAAACTGTGGCTGGGTTCTTTCAAGTGTCGATTCTGCGCATGCCACCTGATAAGAATATCGACGTAATGTTTTTGTAGCAGTGACGTAATCCTCCGGTAATTTCAAGTTTGCACTGTTTGGAGAAGAACTACAAATACTTTGAGGATAAGAATTGTCACTTTTTGAATTTAAAGTCTTTTCGTTTTTTAGTTTCTGGAGATCTTGTTCGTTGATTGACTTCATTACGTCATCAGTAAGGCTTTCAATGGAAGCGATATGACGTAATGATGTGTCTATGGAGTATACAGAATCTCGTGGAGAATATCCATCACAATGATACTGCAAGTTTGAGGCATCCTCGTAATTTGACGAAGTTTTATTATTGTTTTGACTTGCATTTGAGTATTCACTTTTAACAATCAAACCACCATTAACTGGCGTGGAATTCTGACTTGCAGACGGACCGTTTCCTGTATTTGTGTTGTAGATGACGTGATTCACATGTTTTGGTGATTCTTCAATCTGTCCCATGTTCACATAAGCTTGTCGTTTTAACCTTACCGCTCGCATGGCCTCCTCCTTAGCTTTTAGGAATTTCTTTATCTTCCTGCGGTCTCTGGAAAGGCAAAAAACCAAACGGCAGATATACAACATGTATAAAAGTTTAGATAATTTCTGTACTTATTTGTCTTTGTATTGAGTAAAAGTACTACCCTACCTGACGGCCTTAATTGCGGAAACTATACAGATGAAAAGAAATAACCCGCCAAAGAAAACGATGGAGAAGATTGCAGCGAAATCTTGCGATAACGCTGCCATTTTACAACAATTCTCTGCAATAGAAATAACATTAAGAATTTGTGCATCCAAACCGATCATACCAATTGATTGCTAGAAAAATGCTTTATGTCAAGTCTGTACTAAAGATAATACCTGTTATTGATTTCCCAGAAATGCCAGGTTCCGAGCTGTGCACAAAAAGTAATCATTTTCAATTTCCATATCTTGAAATTTTCAAGTCCTTGATTTAAATAAATCCATGTTTTTGTATAAAATCGAGCAAATTTCACTGCATATCCTACCCCACAAAGGGTATAACATCACACACAATTGTACAATAATAATTCATCATTGTTGGATTGAACAATCTAATTCGCTGCTTCATCACAGTAATTGGCAGGATGAGTTAATGCGCCATTTCATTGAGGCATGGTAGTCCATTGTGGTACATTGGCACATGGGGACTTTAATTGGCTTGATGCATCTGGAAATAAAAAGCAGGAACAGTATATTAGCACTTTATGGGGCATTTGCAGATCTATTGTACATCCCATGTGACTCCATCGCTGTTTTTAATTTTGTAGAGAGGCTGTTTACACGCCATGTTATTTTGAATTAAAAGCACAGATCTGTTTTGTATTCTTTATCAATAGGAGGTGAACATATTGCAGCGACCTCAGAGAAATTGAAATGGTAGATAGCACCTTCTGTTATGTATTATCACTGTGTGGTTAAAGAACTGTATGGATGCAGTATTCAGTGTTCATAAATCGCAGCAAAGAACGATTTCCAGTAAATAATTTAACGATCTTTTACGACTTTTAAAGGTATAGACGAAGCTAGGAAAATTGGCTAACCGGCAATAATGGGCTTCCGAATTACTTGCTCTATGTTCAGGAACCTTACATTATGAATAATACAGAGACAACATAGACCCTAAGAAACAAATGTGTTTGTGAAACACTATGCGCCCGGCGGCAACAAAGTTCGAAAAAGCTATTTTTAGCATATATAGGTCACATTCTAGATCACAAGGTCATTGACCATGGTGTCAGTTTAAAGAGCTTAATTAGTGGAGTATGCATACCAAATACTTAGTCTCTATCTCTCCCTGTTCAAAAGTTATGGCGAATGTTCAAAAAAGATTTTTTTTTTGGTATGTGGTTCAAGGACATAAGGTCATTGACCTTTGTGTCATTTGAAAGAGTTTATTTGATGGAGTATGGATACTTAATATGAAGTCTCTTTCATGGTTCAAACGTTATCGCGAAGGTTAAAGTTTGCAGACAAACAGATAATCAGACAGACAGGACAAAAACAATATGCGCCACCTATCTATCGATCCGGCCGCATAAAAGTACAAAAGTGTTTGCTTTTCAAAAAATGTCTGCGATACAGTAGCTGTTGCGATGGCATCTGCACCAAGCAATGTAACTATTTGTACATGACGTGTATTTTTTTCATGTCATATAGTTACAGTTACTACAAAAACACATTCAAGATATTTTTTGTATTTGTTTAAGTATTACAGATTTTTTTTCACTCATATGGAGACGCCACCACTTGCCGATGGATGTTTTACAATGTAAAATTTACAATTTCAGATCAGGCTTTAAATATACATTATGGGAAAAAAAACCATGAACTATGCTTGCATATTATCACATATTAAATTCTCAATGAACTTTTTCCTCTCTTTAAAAGCTAAAAAACAAAATTTTGCCATATCATTTAACACTGCATCATTTCCATATATAAACATATTCACAGTGTTTTTATAAAATCTTAAGTGTTTCAAAATATTAATTTTCTATTTCCGTTATTTATGCTACAGTTTACTCTAATATCCATATATAATTCACAATTTTCTACAAAGTGACTTTCATTTTCAATAACATTTTTATTTGCTATTTGACAGAAGAGACAAAATCTATTTTCTCTAGGGATACCTTTAAATCGACCATGTTCAATTTCCAAACAATGACTAGAGGTTCGTAGTTTACAAAGTGATTCTTTAAAAGATACATTGTTTATGACATCTAGATACATGTACCTTTCTGGTTCAAAAAGAATTTTGAATTTACAATAAAAATCCAATTTACTATAAGAGCTTAATGAGGAGTGCCATTCTTGCATATAGTTATCCTGGACTCTTTGTACAAACTCTTTTAAAAATAATACATTATCCCCTACACCTTGATAAATCCATACATAGTGGAATCCATATCTAAATAACATTGACTTTACCTCTGATGCCCAGTTACCTCTAATTCTACCTACATTATTTAACTGAAGTAATAATAAGTAACATCTTTTTGGGTATCTATCATCATCCATATAAAGTATCTTTAACCAATATGAAATGAATTTCTTAAAGTACTGTATCATCAGAGGATATCTCCCTAATTCTCCTAATACAACTATTTCAGGTGTATTGTTCTTTAGTCTTAAAACTCTTCTACAAAACTTTGTATGTATACATTCAATACATTTAGATAACTCATACCCCCATATTTCAGCACCATAAGTCAAAATAGGTACAATCATTCTATCAAAAATACAAAAGATTTGTTTATATGATGCATTGTACATCTTCATAAATTTATATACAATAAACAATGCTTTTTCTGCTGACACACACAGAGACTTCTTTGTCAATTCCCATGACATTGTACTTGTAAAATATAACCCTAGGTATTTATAAAATGCTACAATTTCAATTTCTCTTCCATCAAAAAACCATTTCTCTGTACTTTTCGTTATACCCCCACGTCTAAACACCATGATCTTTGATTTTTGTAAATTAATGTTCGACCCGGGCGCATAAAAATACAAACAGTGTTTGCTTTGCAAAAGATGTCTGCGATACAGTAGCTGTTGCGATGGCATCTGCACCAAGCAATGTAACCATTTGTACATGACGTGTATTGTTTTTTTCATGCCATATAGTTACAGTTACTACAAAAACACATCTGACGAATGTTTTTGTTTGTATGCTGTTTAACGTCCCTTTCGAGATTTTTTCACTCATATGGAGGCGCCACCCCTTGCCGATGGAGAGTTGCAAATTTTGCCCTATGCTCAGCACATAGCATCATTGAGTAGGGATGAATCTTTTTCGTGCCAACACCCACTGCGACACAGGGCCTCGGTTTACTAGTGTATGCTTGGTCTCAACTCCTTACTTCGCGACTTAAGAGCAAACGCTCTTACGGATACCAACTTTAGAATGTAGGTCAGGTCCACAGTCTAAAGAAAGTCTTTTGGAGTTCATCCCTGATCACCCAAACAAATTGGTTACTTTAACTAGAAACGTAATAGATCTAGCAGGTTCTGAGCAATTAGATACATGTATCTCATGCAAAGACCCAGGCGTCGTACCTGTATGGTATGTCGATGCCCGAGTTTTACTATTATAATTTGTGCTTGTTTGTTTTGTAAATTCATTATTGATGGTACATACCTATTGACCATGACGTATTTATTATTTAAAGAATAAAACTTTTTTCTATTTCCGTTATTTATGTCCTTGAACATATTTCATATATTCGTCTTTTATCTTTTTGATTATTTATACAAGTATTGATTCAAGGTAAAAATGTTGGGGGAAAATATCGCACATCAAAGCCTTTTTCTTTTGTGTTGCATGTATAAAACTGCGAGACAGTCGTGTATGCTTAAAATTGATCACAAGCTGACAGCTCCCTTATTTGTAAAAAGAATGTTCTGAATGGGCACACAATCGCAACAAGGGGACTTATTAATTTATATCTGTGCAATGTGTGCAAGTAGCTTCGTTTTTATAGTCATATTGAATTTGTTAGGGGGAGATAACTATCATATTGTAAATTTTGCATTTATACCTCCCTCTAGTAAATTCAAAATTTACAACATGATAGTCAGATAAATTTTTATTAATTTTTTTTGAGATGCTTTGATCGCAGAAAATTCCTGATCACTTATTCCTATAGTAACATTTCTGTACATATATGGTTCAGTAAGTCTCGATGTGTAATATTTTGCAAAATTCACTGGAATTTAGTGTGAGTAATGTCTCAGAAAGATGATTTTTTGACAATTTATTTAAAGAAAATGTATTTGCAGTTTCGTGCCAAGTTCCAATAAATCGTGAGTATATGACGGATATAGATCGGTCCCCCACGGATGTTTTCTATTTCATTCTTGACGAATAAACAATTTTCTTTTTGTACTTTTTGGAGTAGAAGTGGCAACTGAATTTGAAATTTAGTAGGAACTACATACTTTCACTTTGCTAATCCAATATTCCAAATAAGCATTAATACGTCTCTTGCAATGAACCTTGCTTATGGCCGAAAAGAAACATCATTAGAATATTAACCTCTATCTTTGATGTATTTATAAGTTCTTTAACCAGTTTGCTAACTTATCCAATTCTGAGACCAATACCTGACTTCAAATCTTCAATGCAAGAAAATGTACATTTTCGCCAACGGCCTTACCTTCTGAAGTAGTGGAAATAAAACGATTTTAAGTAGGCCGAATTTCCGTCACGCAATATTGATAATCGTCTTTGACAGGAGATTAATAAAAACGATATATTTGTAGTCGTATTCTTGCCTTTTGTTCTTCAAGCGAAGGTAATTTAAACTAGAAATGGAGTCCAAACAAATCCTGCCGATTAAGGATCCTTATTAGCATACAGTGTTAGACGGCATGTAGAAATTGTAATGGAATTCTCAAATTTAAAAAATATATAAGTAGTCCTATTGTTTGTGAACAGTGAAAGATATTCCAGAAATGTGCGTTCCGGGAAATTCCGATTGTTCTAAATCAATTAAGTTGCGCATTCTCCATTTTTACAAGTGAATTCTGGCTGCCAAATTAGTAGAAATTCTAAGGTGCATTCTTCACAGCATGCTGATAAGGCATGGGGATGTTTTTGTAATGATTTATTCACAAAGAGTCATTAAGTTAAGCTATTCTGGGATTAAAAATCGATATCTATATAAAATAATAAAAAAAAAAAACCATTAGTATATCTATCCTTCTAGCCATATCTGCTATAGAAAATTTTATTCACTAAGGGAAAGTTTAATGAATATATAAGTAAAAAAAAAATTACTTACCTGTATCCCAAGCGATCAGAATCCTCAGGCAGAGTAGAACCATCTGTTGCTATCGATCTAAGGATTGCAATAACCACACACACTATAGAAAAACAGCTCTAGATTCTCTACTTAGTTTATATTGATAATGTATGATAATCAGCGACACATTGCAGAAGATTTTCTTTTTCATGCATATAAATTATTTTTTTTTTGTTCAAGTAATTTGTTGTGGGCGAGATTCTGTTGTTGGTGACGTCATGACATGGAAACTGCAATGACACGTCATTTTAAGGACTTATTATTGCTCATTGGAATTTCAAAATTTTATTGTCTTTGAAGACTTCATAAATATTGTCAATGAGGAACACCAGCATCCTTTTATTATCTTTTTTAGAATACTTTTGTTTAGAATCAGAGTGATTTTAATCCGTCTTTATGTAGGACGTATATGTTATAGTGTTCACATCCGTCTGTCTGTTAGCTTTTTCGTATCTGGCTCTTAACTTTAAATACTGTAGATTGCCACATAGCGAAATTAAAACCATCGTGATTATTTGCCAAATTGGCAAATAATCACGA